GGCTGGCTGCAGGCTGAGACGTGCGAGCCGTGTTCCGACGCGGGCGGGCCCAGGGCCAGGCAGGGCCGGCGAGGGGCCGGGGGGTGTGGGGACACGCAGGCAGAGCGGGGCTGTGGGGGCGCCCGAGGAGGGTGAGCCAACAGGGACCCCGGCCCAAGGGGGGCATTAGCCCTGACTGCTACAGGGTCCCCAAAGCGCTGGGAGCTGGCTCAGGGGGACGCCACGTGGAGTTTGGGGCAGCCCCTCGGTGGGTGAGCGACCGCCCACGGCCCTGCCGGTCCCGGCCATGCGCTGCAGACCCTCAGGAGAGGGGAGTGTGGTCCTGAGGGACGCCGGACACTGAGGCGGGGGTTCAGGGTCTCGGGGGGCTCCGGACGGGCCGTGCTGCCCAGGGCTGGGCCCCTGAGCCATGAGGGTGGTAAGTGGGCAGAGGGGCCCCATCCCGGGGGTGCACTGAGTGGGGGCCCGGCAAGGCGGGTGCGGCGCACACCTGCCGTCTCGGGTGCGGGGGGCTGCCGGTCACGGCCCCCGAGGCGCCATGGACTGGCCTTCCCGGCAGGAGGCAGGAGCAGCGGGCGCCCTGCCAGGGCCTCCACGTGGCCCCCGCCCGGCCCCGGCCCTCTCTGTTTGGTTTTCCGCGGCCCTGGAACCTCAGACGCCCGTCTGGCCCGGGGTGGGGGGTCCGGATGCCGAGACGCACAAAGACCTACAGTGTGGGCGGGGGGCGGCGCGGCCGAGCTCCCGGAGACAGCCCTCGCCTGTGCCTCCCCACGGCCCTGCGCCCGGAGGACGGCGGGGGCGCCAGGCCGGGGGGAGCTGCCCCCTGCCCCGTGCCCAGAACCTGGGACCAGTCTGGGGCACACACGCACACACACGTTCTCACACGCCAGCCACACACGCGTGTGCAACAGGCACGCTTCTGTGCATTCGGTCACACGCACCCAAGTCACAGGCACACACGCACACTTACCTACCTACAGTCACACATACACACAAGCCACACGCATGTGCACACACTTATCTGCAGATGGCCGCTCACGCTTACATGCACACACAAGTCACACACGGACACACACACTTATTTTCATGCAGTCACACACACGTTCGCATGACACCTTTTCACAAGCACATACTGCCACACGCACACACCGACACACACACACGCAGATGCTCAGACACGCAGTCACACGCATTTTCACAACCACACGAATCACGTGTGCGTACATGCATGCTTCCGTGCACGTCCACGCACACGCGCACATTCAGTGCTCATGACGGTGCCCACACATGTGCGTGACCACACGTGTTTGCCCGCTCGACCCCCTGCAGCAGCCCTGTGGGCACAACCCCCGAGGCCGCAGCGTGGTCCCCAAAGTGGGGAGGCTCCGAGCATGGGTGTGTGGGGACCCAGGCCCCGACGGCCAGCCTGCCAGGGCTGCGGCGGGCGCCCCCGGCAGGTCCTCCAGTCCAGCCTGGTGTCCACCCCTCTCCACCGACAGCAACCGGCAGGGAAGCCGGTCCCTCGTCAGGGGCCTCAGCTCCCGGAGGTGGACACGGGTCAGAGCCCGGCACTTCCTGCCTGAGATGTGGGCAGGGGTCCCTCCTCGGGGCAGCCCTGAGGGCCGGGGGGGCAGCTGCCGCCTCCCCGCCGGCGCCTCCGCCGCGTCCACGGGGCTCACTGCGCCACCTGGTGGCCAAGCGCCGCCAGCCTTTAGCACCAGGGGAGCCCGGAGGTCCTGACGGACCAGGCACTTCCCAGGCCCGCAGGGCCCCCTCGGAGCGCCTGGCCCGTGTTCCCGTGCTGGAACCTTCTCTCCAGGGCCACCAGGAGTCCTGGTCTCTGCTGGCCAAGAGCCGCTGCCGTGCCGCTGCCACCCAAACGCTGTGAACCACGGCTGCCAGCGGGCCGGGAGCCACCCAGCACCTGGACACGGGCACGGCATACACGCACACAAACCTGTACGCACACGTATACACACACGTAGGCATGCACACGTGTCCACACACACAAGGCACACATCCATACATGCACACACACAACACGTGCGCCCACATGCACACACGCACACACATACGCCTATGCACAAGTATCCATGCACACGTACACACATACGTGTATAGGCACACGCGACACACACATACACACGCACACACACACGCAGACCCAGTATGCTTGTGCCTGTGCACAGGCACACACATGCACACATGTGAACATGCACACACTCACCACTCAAGGCACACACACACGCGTACACATGCCCACACGGCGACCCGGGCGTGGGTGTCTCTGGGGACGTGAGTTGGGCCCTGTGCTCGGGGGACCCGCGAGCCCTGAGCTGTGCCATGACCTCAGGAGGACGACGGGTCCCCGACCAGGACGCAGCCGACCCCAGGGTGCCGTCCGGTGCTGACACCCCGGGGTGAGGCCTCCCCTGTCGGCCCTGGGGGTGCCGGGCTCTGCGGGGACCCACCCGATCACGGCTCTCGGCCCAGCCTGGCCTGACCCTGGCCCCGCTCGGAACAGCCTGCCCGACAGAGGGGAGTCTGGGCAGGTGGGGCGGGGGGCTGCACCCCGCGGCGGCTGAGTGGGAAGGCAGGTCTGGGCAGTGCGGCTGAGGCGGCTGAGGAATGTTCCAGAGGCACGCCCTGCCCCCCTGCCCCCGCCTCACCCTCCTCCAGGCGCTGCTGGCTACGTGCCGGGTCAGGAACACACCTCAGGCCTGGGCTTGCTCAGACCTGCCCCACCCACCCGAAGCCCCCCGACGACCCCCGCCGGGCCCTGACCCCCACCCGCCCCTCGTGGGCTCCGGTGCGGGTTCCAGACTTTGACTAGAGACTCACAGGAGACGCTGGGGCCAGGGAGAGACCCCCAGAAGGACCCTCGGCAGGGGGGAGGGTTTCCTGGAGGAGGCAGCCCTGCCGCAGCTGGGGCCCAGGCACCTGAGTGACCCTTTGCCCCAGGCCCTGCCCCTGTGAATCGTGGGGGGTGCCGGGCCCTGGGGGTCAGCATCTGCCCAGCACCCCGGCCGTGCTGCCTCCCGGACCCCGATTTCTGCCTCCCCACAGAGAAGCCTGGATGGTGGGGCTCAGGCCCAGGCTGGGCCGGGTAGTGGGGCCAGCAGGGCCTGCCGTGGGCGGGAGGGAGGGGATTCTTGGCAGGGCGCCGGGGTCTCTGCGGCCCGGAACCCCGCGTCCAGCCCTGGCCCCAGCATCTGGCCCTGGAGTGGGGGTGCAGGGTCCCGGGTTCCAGACCAGCGTGTCTGCAGGCAGGCAGAGGCAGGGGTCCCGCAGGACTGGCTACCAGCACAGGGACCCGCAGACCCCCGGGTTCAGTGCGGGGAGCCAGAGGGGGCCTGGGGGCCGTGCCGGGACTGAGCTGGGGCTGGGGGTTGTGCCGGGGGTCTGCTGGGCTCGGTCTAGCTGCTGGAGTGCTGGGCTGTGGGGACCCGGCGGGGCGGCCAGCAGGGGGCAGTGTGTCCCTTCGCGTGGCCGTGGCTGGGGCCGGCCGCATGCCTGCGCGGGGCGGGGGCCTCCTTGGGGGACGCGGGCGGAGGGGCTGCCCGGAGCTGCTCCCACCGCCCAGGACAAAGGCGGGTGGGGGAGGGCCGCGGGCTGCAGGGCCGCTGTTCCCCCCCAAGGTCACGGCTGGTCCGGGGGAGCCTCCCAGAGCCCAGACCCAGGGGCTGGGGTGGGGGCGGCTGGAGAGGGGGTCCTGGGCGCCCTCGGGAGAGCGGGCGGCCGGCAGGAAGCCTGGACCCCGCGGCCCCTTCCCGCGCTGTTTCCTGTCGGAAAGCCCAGGGCCCGGGAGAGGCCCAGTTCCGGGCGGGCTGACCCCGAGCAGGGGTGGGGGGCCCTAGGGGGACATCCTGGGGGGGAGTGGACATACGGGGGGGTTTCAGGATGGGGGACAGGCTTGGGGGGGGGGACAGGCTGGGGGGGACAAGCTGCCCAGGCCACCACCCCCCCGCGGAAGGCCCAGCTGTCGCTCCTTGAGGAGCTGGGGTGCGTCAGGAGCCCTAAATAGAGCCGGGCCTGCAGACCTGGGGCACGTGGCGGTGGCAGGTGCCGCGCCCACTGCCCGGAGCCCTCTTATACCCCTGCCCCGGCCCCGCCGGCACTCGCCGCTACTGACCGCCTGTGCCCACTGTCCACCCACCGTCCACCCGCAGACCCCGGTGAGGCGCCCAGACCTGCGCGCCCGCCGGGAGAGACGACTCGGCTGCCCTGGACCCTGGGGGGCTCTGAGGGACCCAACTCGGGGAACCGCTGGGGAAGACGGGGATGGCAGGGCTGAGACCACCCCTGCCCGGCCGGGCCGCTGGGACAGCTCAGGAGCACTGTCCCTCCCCGCCAGCCCTCTCCCCTCTCTCCCCTTCCCTTCCCTTCCCTTCCCTTCCCTTCCCTTCCCTTCCCTTCCCTTCCCTTCCCTTCCCTTCCCTTCCCTTCCCGCCCTCCCTGCCACCCCTCTCCTCTCACTTCCCCTCCCCTCCCCCTCCTCCCCTCCCTCCCCCCTCCCTCGCCCTCCCCCTTCCCCTCCCCTGTCCTCCCCCTCCCTTCTCCTCTTCCTTCCCTCCCCCCTCCCCTCCCCCTCTCTCTGCTCCCTTCCTCCTCTGGGGGTCTGAAGGATGGGGGGAGGCCAACCCCAGACCCCTCTGCTCTCTCATGCCCCGATTCTGTCCCCACAGGCTCGAAGCCAAACCCCGAGACTCAGGATGGGAGAGTAAGTAGACCCCGGCCTGGCACCCCTCGCCCCGCGGCCCTGGGGCGGGGGCTTCTGCGTCCCTGGCCCGACCCCCTCCCCACGCCGTCCCCCCGGACGTGGACCTGACCCCTCTCTTCCCCCAACAGTGAGGAGGTGAGTCCTGCCCGGGCGCCCGGAGGTCAGAGGTCAAGCTTCCCGCCGAGGAGCTCCGCGGGCCTCCTGCCCACCCTCAGTCGACTCCCCCTGCACGGTGGCCCCGGGGAGGGCGGCGGGTGGGCCGTGGGGTGCCGCGGGGCGCGGGGGCCACCCTGACTCTGTCCTTCTGCCCCCCAGAAACGCAACCGGGCCATCACGGCCCGCAGGCAGCACCTGAAGGTAGGCGGGGTGCGGGCGGGGGGCGTGCGGGTCCGCGGGGGGGGGGCGCGGGCGAGGCTGAGACCCCCGCCCCGCCCCGCAGAGTGTCATGCTGCAGATCGCGGCCACCGAGCTGGAGAAGGAGGAGAGCCGGAAGCAGTCGGAGAAGGAGAACTACATGGCCGAGCACTGCCCGCCCCTGCACATCCCCGGGTCCATGAGCGAAGTGCAGGTGCGCCCGCGGGGGCCAAGGGGCGGCGGGCGGGCGGGCGGGCGGGGGTCTCAGGGAGGCCGACAGACCGTGCGGCTCGCCCCCAGGAGCTCTGCAAGCAGCTGCACGCCAAGATCGATGAGGCTGAGGAGGAGAAGTACGACATGGAGGTCAAGGTTCAGAAGAGCACCAAGGAGGTGAGGGGGCCCGGAGGTGCCGGGGGGCCCAGGAGGGGGTGAGGGTCCGGGAGGTGATGGGGCGGCCAGGGAGGTGAGGGCCTGGGAGGTGAGGGGGCCCAGGAGGTGATGAGAAGCCCGGGAGGCCAGCAGGGCCCAGGAGGTGACGAGGGTCCGGGAGGCGATCAGGGCCCAGGAGGTGATGGGGGACTCAGGAGGTGACGGGGGGACCCAGGAGGTGGTGAGGGGGCCCAGGAGGTGGTGAGAAGCCCGGGAGGCGATCCGGGCCCAGGAGGCGATGGGGGACCCAGGAGGCGATGAGGGCCCGGGGGCGAGGGGCCCAGACCCGACGCGGCCCCTGCGTCCCCAGCTGGAGGACATGAACCAGAAGCTCTTCGACCTGCGGGGCAAGTTCAAGCGCCCCCCGCTGCGGCGTGTGCGCATGTCGGCCGACGCCATGCTCAAGGCCCTGCTGGGCTCCAAGCACAAGGTGTGCATGGACCTGCGGGCCAACCTGAAGCAGGTCAAGAAGGAGGACACCGAGAAGGTGGGCCGCGCCCCCCCCCGCCCGCCCGCCCCTCCCCCGCTCCCCCGCCCCTGCCTGGCCCACCCACCCACCCACCCACCGCCCTGCGCCCCCAGGAGCGGGACCTGCGCGACGTGGGTGACTGGCGGAAGAACATCGAGGAGAAGTCGGGCATGGAGGGCCGCAAGAAGATGTTCGAGTCCGAGTCCTAGGCCCCTGGCGGACCCCCCGCGCCCCGCGCCCGGCCCGCCCGTCACTAAAGCGTTGCAACCCCTTGTCCGCCTGTGTTCTTGCTGCCGCGTGCCCAGGGTGGGGGGGGTGGCCCAAGGGTCAGGGGCTCGGCCGGGCCCAGAGAGGCCAGTGCGGGATCGTGGGCAGCGGGGCCCCCGCCCAGGAGGGAGCGCCAAGGTCCCGCGCACAGCAGGGCCGCAAGGCCACGCCGGCAGCGGCTGACGGATGTGCTGACGTTGACGAGGCCCCCAAGGCCTCTGGGAGGCAGAAGGGGCGTCCGGCCCTGTTTGATCCTGCCTCGGGCTCAGCCCGGAGGGCAGCTGCCGGCCTTGAGCTGGCGTCAGTGGCTCCTTGGGGCCCCCACCCTGGAGCCGGAGACCCTGCAGGCCCCCCTGGCCCACACAGGGCCCCGCCCGAGCCTCAGGGTGCCCGAGTGCAGAATCTGGCGGGAAGACCGGGAGCAGGAGGGGGCCGTGGGGAGGGTCAGGGTGACCAAGGACCTCAGAAACTGGACCTGTCCCCGGGGAAGAGACTCCAGAATTCCAGGAGGGCCCCAGGCAGAGGCCCTGGGGGGGTTCTGAGGCCACACAGGTTCGGGGCGGGCAATGAATCGATGAGTGCTGGGCGCACAGTCCATGAGGGATGGGGATGGAGTGCGTGTGAGCCCGGAGCTCAGCTCTGTCAGAGAAGCGAACTAGTGAGTGTGTGAGGCGTGTGTGAGAGCGTGTGAGTGCGTACACTAAGTGTGGGTGTGAGCATGGGAGTGTGTGTGAGTGTGAGAAGGGCCTAAGTATGTGAGTGAGGCGCAAACACGTGACTGCAAGGGGGCGCGTTTTTGAGGAGCGTGTGAGCGTGCGAGTGAATGAGGAGTGAGTGTGCGAGTGTGAGAAGTGTCAGTGCAAATGAGTGTGCGAGTGGAGGCGTGCATGAGTGTGTGGATGTGTGTGCGTGTGAGTGTGTGAGGAGCATGAGTGAGTGTGTGTGAGTGGTGAGGAATGTGAGTGTGTGAGTGTGTGAGGAGTGTCAGTGAACAGCGGTGTGTAGCGTGCGAGTGAGTGACTGCACACAAGTGCGTGGCGTCCTACCCACCGAGTGTGTGAGCCAAGCCCACCTCAGTCGGGCCGGCATGGGGGTCCCTGGCTCTGGGCTTTGGCATGTGCGTGTAGACCCGGGGCTGCGGGAGGGATGGCGAGTGTCGGGGACAGGGAGGGGCCCTCCAGGACTTGGGGGGGGATGGGTGCCCAGGGCCGCCAGGAGGAAGGGGCCAGCACAGGGCGTGTGGGGCTGGGGGAAGCCGGCCCCAAGGGGCAGTGGGTGTGGGAGCAGGAGGGAGCCCTCGAGAGGGGCCCCTCAGAAAGACCCTAGGGTGACACCCAGGAGGGCCGCGAGAGGCCTGCCCAGCATGGGGGAGGCGCGTCGTGTGCACGGAAGGTTCTGGAACCAGGTTCTGGGGAGCAAAGGAGGTGTGGGTGGAGGGCGAAGGGCAGACGTGGGCCGACTCTGCCCGGGCACAGCCTGACCTGCATCCGTGTGTGGGCTTCTGGAAGCGGCCAACAAATGGATGCCCGCACCAGCCACGCACAGCTCCGGGAAGACAGTCTCACACAGAGACAGTCACACAGAGACTGTCACACACAAAGACAGTCACACAGTCACACAGAGTCACACAGAGACAGCCACACAGAGACAATCACACAGTCTCACACAGAGACAGTCACACAGTCTCACACAGACAGTCTTACACAGAGACAGCCACACAGACAGTCTCACAGAGACAGTCACACAAAGACTGTCACATACAGAGACAGTCACACAGTCACACAGAGTCACATAGAGACAGTCACACAGTCTCACACAGAGACAGTCACACAGTCTCACACAGAGACAGTTTCACACAGAGACAGTCACACACAGTCACACAGACAGTCTTACACAGAGACAGTCACACAGAGACAGCCACACAGTCACACAGAGACAGCCACACAGACAGTCTCACAGAGACAGTCTCACACAGAGACAGTCACACAAAGACTGTCACATACAGAGACAGTCACACAGTCACACAGTCTCACACAGAGACAGTCACACAGTCTCACACAGAGACAGTCTCACACAGAGATAGTCACACAAAGACTGTCACATACAGAGACAGTCACACAGTCACAGAGACAGTCACACAGAGTCACACAGAGACAGTCACACAGAGTCTGTCACACACAGTCACACAGTCACACAGAAACAGTCACACAGACAGTCATACCCACAGAATCACACAGAGACAGTCACACAGTATCACACTGACAGAGTCACACAGAGAGAGTCATACAGAGTCACACAGTCTCACACAGAAACAGTCACACAGAGTCACACAGACAGAGTCGCATAGAGACAGTCACACAGTCACACAGAGAGTGTTACACACAGAGACAGTCACACAGACAGAGTCACACAGAGTCACAGAGAGTCACAGAGAGACGGTGACAGACGGGACCACAGAGACAGCCGCACACAGAGACCAGTGTCCCAGGCAGTCCTGGCCTTGGCTGACCAGGCTGGACACACGCTTTAGGTCAGTGTCACAGTGCCCCCCGGGAGAAGGCAGGGCAGGGCAGGCAGGGCCCGGGCGGGCTCTTCCAGCCTTCTGCATTCCGGTGGGCTGCGGGGTCTCGATCTGCCAGACCCCAGTGTGAGGAGCCGCGGGGAGTCTCCGTGTGTCCAGCCTGGGCGGGCTGTCACCTCCACTGGTCCCTCTGTGCGGGTCCTGTCGAACCCTCCCTCACAGGGCCCGGGGGTTGGGGACAGCTCGTGCTCCTAGTCACCTCGTCCGAGGGGGGCGAGGGTGGGAACGGGGCATGAGGCCTGGCCCCCCAGACAGCCTCCCGTGGTGGGGGCCCCCGGTGTGTAGGGTGCCTGGGACCGGGCCACCGTTTTTGTCCTTCAACAGCTGAGTGTTTCCGCTCTGGAAGGCGGCAGGCGGAGGCGTCACCCGTTTCTACCCGGCGCCAGGCTCAGCCTAGCCTTTGGGGGCTAAGGGGGGCTCACGTCTGGGGCCTCCCAGTGGCCCACCACCCACTGACCACTTCCCCATTCGCCACGGCGCCCACTCCCTGATGATGCCTCCCTGGGAGTCCCTGACCTTCCGGGCGGCCCCTGCCCCAGGCCCGTGCTCCCTGCGGTATCCCTCGGCCACCAGCCCGCCTGGTGCCCGTCCGCCTTGTGCCGGGGCCTCCCCAGCCTGGCTCCCGTGCCCGGGCTCTGAGGGTCCTTCCCGCGGGCCACTTGGCCCCTTGGGGCGTCCCCTCCGCAGAGGCAGGGGCGCTGCGGGGCCCAGGGCTGAGCCGGGGCAGGGCTGAGCGTGCTGGACAGTCACTTTCTCCTCGGGTGGTGGCTGGGGAGGGGGCGGCCGTGGGGCGACGGCTGATGCCCCGCTTGCTGGGGAAGCTCCCGTCACCGCAAGGTCCCCCAGTCCCGCCCCGGAGGTGCTGAGACTGTTCCGGGCTGCTCTGAGCACAGGGCGGGGACATTTCAGGGCTGGGGTCAGGGCTGGGCAGTGGCCCGGTCCCGCAAGGGGGCTCTGTGCGGCCCCCACCCCCGACTCCCTGAGGCCCGGCCGCTTGTCCCGAAGGTGGATGAAAAGACGGCGTCCGTCCGTCCGTCAGGTTCCAGACCTCAACCTGAAGGGGCGGGGGGAGAGGCGGGCACCCCGCGGGCACAGGGCACCCACAGACCCGCCATGGCAGAGCTCAGGGACACCCTGACTCGAGGAGTGGGCGCCAGTGAGTCCCCACCCAGGCGGGCCACTCGGGTCAGCGGGGTTCCGGGGCAGCCGGGAGGCGGGAGGGAGGCCGCGTCGTGAGGTGGGTTCGAGCCTCTGGTCGGGGGCCAGGACCACATTGACCCGTAAGAGGGTGGCCTGCATTTGCGTGGGCACAGGGGCCCGTGTGTGTGCGCACGTGTGGGTGTGTTCATGTGAGTACACGGTGAGAAGACGGCTACACTGTACATGTGTGCACACACGAAACGTGCGTGTGCGCGTGTACCATGTGAGTGTGTGCGCGTGTGAGCACGCGTGCGTGTGAGTGTGTGACACCTGAGAGCATCGGGACACCTGGGCGTGTGATCGAGCCCGCGCAGTCACACATGTGCACGCGTGCGCAGGCTGAGGTGCAGTGGGGGAGGCCTCTGGGGGCGGGCCGAGCGGCCTGTGCCGACCTGACCGGCCGCGTGTCCTTGGTGCGGCACGTCCTGGGCGGGGCGGGGCCGTGGCAGCAGGTGGAGGGGACAGCTGTGTCCCTCTCAGGAATGCTGGGTCAGCACTGCCCGCTCCTGGGCACGGCCTCTCCTCCAGGCCTGCCCATAGAAGGCCACGCCGGGCTCCCTGTCCTGTGTCGCCCGCCCAGCAGCCCCCACCCCCCCGCCCTGTCCCAGCCGCCGCGCGGGCCGAGGCGGGCCCTAGGGACAGCTGACCTGGCCGTGATGTGGGTCCTGCGTGTCCCGTGTCTGTCCTCTACAGGGCAGGTCTGCTGGACAGCAAAGCCATGGGTAGTGGCGTGGCCCGCAGACCCCCAGGCTGGGCTGGAACTGACCGTCCTGAGTGCAGTCGGGCCGACGGGTCCCTCTCTCCAGTGAGGAGAAGCAGATCTCCTGATGCTCGGCCAGGAAGCCCCCCGGAAGCCCCCAGGCCCGGGCTGGAGCCGATCAGAGACCAGCTTCTCCCCAGTGCCCAGAGTCCGTGTCCACACCTCTGTGTCCCTCCACCGCTACACCCTGCACCCCTGCACCCCCACCTCCCCCAGAGCAGAAAGGGAACTCAGCCTTCCAGAATGAGCTGGGGCCTTCCAGAGCTTCTAGGAAGCCGCCTTCCGTGAGCCCTTCCCCGCCCCGCCACCAGGGCCCTGGCTCTGCAGGACTCCCGAAAGCCTCCGTGGAGTTAGGGGTCCAAGCCAGCTGGGGCCCCAGACCCTCTGGAACCCAGATGCAGAGGGAGGGCGCCCTCCGAGCCGAGACAGCCTGGAGTGGG